AGATTTTTTTTTCACGTCTTGTCTTTCATATACTTGTCCATCCTTCTAATGTACGAATGGCCGATTGGCACAATCCTCGTCATGTCCGCCATTTTGAAACACCCCGCATGTACCCAGGCTCCGAAGGAGTCGAAAAACAGTCACAAAGCGAATCCGAAATATCATCACTTACATACTGTGCATAAAGTCGTATGTACTACTAATCCACTGATTATTAAGCATTGATCAAGATGAATAATCCGAAATCGTTATGTTTTTCTACAAAAAATGGTGTGTACAAACACTTGCAGCATCCACCAGCGATAACAATCACGTGATATATCCGACGTTAGCTCACAACTAATCAACGCAAAGCCCCAAAACCTGAGACTATGCATTACATAACGTCCTAGCTCTGAAACCTGATATATACATGAAATATACTAAAATCACTACATTCTAACCACAGAAAATGGTAAATTACATATGTATGCATAAAACATATTATTGTCAATAATATTACATTACGTTACCGATATTTACGTTACCAATATTTACGTTACCAATATTTACGTTACCATCATGTTTTAAAATAAATTGGAATTTAATTCTAAAGCATTCGCGAGTTAATCTTAATGATTTAAAAACTAAAAACATTAAGAAATACACTGTTTCTTAAAATGACATTTTTTCTGTAACAAGATTGCAGAAATGCAAAAGGAAGTGCACATGCAAAGGTAAACATCTTTTACTCAATATCTTGTGCATCCGTGTGACTTGAAAATTGAATTGACATAATATTATTCACAAATAGAATTGTGGTTTAATGATAGAATTTTTCCATTTTGAGCAATTGGTTAATATTGCATAGTTTTAAGTGTAATGCACGTTATCATTCGGAAGGTAAATCTGAAAAAACTTTCTTCAAGTTTGTACCGGTATTTTGCTGTTTGTTTGAACTGAAAGTGTATCGTCCACTTAAAAAATCGTTGTATACACCTAAATTGTATACCAAGCTAAACTAAACATTTTGAAGAAGAAAATATCATATTTCGTAGGAAATATAATTCCAGAGAATAGGCGCTGCACTCCATGTAGTGTGTGTGTGTGTGGGGGGGGGGGGGGGGGCTTCCACATCGGGTTAAAAAGATGGCTTGGTGTTGGGTGTCAAGAAACTGGTCGAAATCGAATCCATTTTTGTTGCTTTGCAAGATATACATGTATTAAATTGTGCACCTAATTTTTCCCATTTAAATTGCTGCTTAGACATAGAACTTACAACGTATGCGTCTATGCTTTAATAGTACTGAAAATTCAATTTACGTTATAATAATGTAGAATGTATGCATATTGTTCTATAGAGCACATGTGATATGCAACTGAAATAATTAACAAACTTTTTAAAGGGTGGTTAGGGTAACTTTGTTTTATTCATTTATTTTTTTTTTTTTTTTTGAGATTTGAAGATAAAGTTTTCACGAGCAATTAAGCATTTGAAATAATCAACAGATTAAATGATGGAAAGGGGGAGGGGTCATTTATTAAATGATTCCTTCCTCTATAGATAAGTCATAACTTGAATTTTCAATTCAACCCTTTGTCAAGAACACAGATAAGAAAATTCATAAAATGCAATAATTTAAAATGATATAATCAGTTTTTCCCCGAATATACTTTTATTTTGTATGATATCTATGTGCGAAATTTACGTGACATTTAACAAACACTCCGTAATCAGGTAATGGCGAAATATTTTACCTTCTTATATTTTAAATTATGTGCTTTTCTCTGAGCAGATTAATAAAGAATCAAATAATGAAACATATTATGGAATATTGTCATTATTTAGCTTATCATCAGATTTGATAAAAACTTGTTAAAATAAAAAGAAAATAATTTCATTTAAATGAAAATTATGCCTGTTTTGTTTTTACTAAGAACTGAATCAAAGATTTCACATACCTTTTACAAATGTGCTTAAACGGTTTCATAAATGTTTATAGTTAACAAAATTTTATGTGTATTATCTTAATTTTGTATTAGAAAAAATTCTTTCGTTTCCAAATATGGCTTTTCAACATCACGTAAATATCTTGGTGTAAAATTAGCCCTCCAACCCATTCATTTCGAAGGAGGTCTACAAAACACAGCATGAAGTATGTAAATCAAATTGTGATTTTTTAATAATTATACACTTTCATGTTTCAAATGACATATAATAGTGTTAGTTTCAGTTCACAAATTTTTTTGACTTTTCCCAAAGTCGATTTGGCACTATAAATTGAGAATGCGTGACGTATGAAATAGTTGTGGCAGACTCTGTGGTATCTTTTATCTCAAGCTCACCAGGATATATTGTATCGACATAAGAATGGAAATCACCATTGTTAATTGAGAATACGTCGTCGATATGTCTAAATGTTGAATTGAATATCATATTACATCAACTCATGTGCAAAGCTTTAATTGTCATAATAGAAGATTGTCTCTTAGTAGAAATGACACTCATAAACACTGAAATTGGTGATAAAGTGTTGGTATGTATCCTCTGAAAGAACTCTAGGAAAGTTTCCAAAGTTTATGAGCTTTTAGTATGACCCTAATTTGATTAGAGAGAAACACATAGATCTTACATGTAAAATTAAGCGAGAGGATGCAAAGAAAACTATGGTAGAGGATATAGTCATTAGATAGAATGAGACCCTATAGGTCACAAAACTGCTGTCTCGATACAGAAAGTAAAGATGAGTTCCTAGTTGGGGACAAAAATAAAGATGTAGAAAATCCTGTTTACATACATATATGTATCTACATATCTGAATAAAATGGAAGTAGAGTTGACGGTTCGAAGACAACAAAAAAGGCTTGATTAGCGCTCAAATTAACAATTTACTTATAATTATTTATTCACTGATTCATTATACGTTTTTCATATACTTGACACAAATGTCTTTGAAAAAAAAGCAACTTAGAGGAAAGTACGTTTCCTTTGTTCAATATGTCTTAACTTACTTTCGTCGCACGAAGCCTGGAGATTACATTTCATCACTTGCGCATCTGAGGACAAGACGAAAGGAGATATGGGTGCTGCTTATGATATAAAACCTTTGCAATCATACTTTTCGGTTGGCTAAAGTATGTTCACACGACTTTCAGCCACAGCCAACACATCTAAGATATATGTACGATAACGGACGATGAACATAAATGACAGGAGGATTCAGGGGGAACTCATCTTCTTTGAGTCCGACCTTGATTCCGACAGAACAATAAAAGGCGACAGTCCCTCTCCTATCTAAATAAAGAGAAAATAGTGGCGGAGTGTCAAGCCCACAATACACAAAGGAAAAAGCGACAGCCCCTCTCCTATCTAAAATAAAGAGAAAATAGTGGTGAAGTGTCAAGCCCACAATACACAAAGGAAAAAGCGACAGCCCCTCTCCTATCTAAACTAAAGAGAAAATAGTGGTGGAGTGACAGCCCCTCTTCTATCTAAAATAAAGAGAAAATAATGGTGGCGTGTCAAGACCACAATACACACAGGAAAAAGTTTGCTTAAAGGCATCTTTCGGGATTCAAGTGCAGCTTTGCTACCATTTTTACTCCGGTTGCAAGACCCAGACTCCTTGGCTTGTCGTGTGTTAACAGACTGTAATGTAACAATGTAGATAGATCCAATCAAATTAAGCCCAGAAAGATTTATTAAGGGAATATATACATGTAAAGGATTCTTACCTCTTGTATAACACAGTAAGATTAACCATTACTCTTGCAACATGTTTATGTATCACTATAGTCAATATATAGAGTAACTTCTTATAATATAATTTATATTAATGATAAACAAGTAGATTTCAAGAAAACTGATAATAAAAAAAGTTAAACTCCATATTTTTTTTTTTATTATTTCTTAAAATTACTTTTTTGTCAAGTTTGTCTCTTAAGAAAAAAATAAAATCATGATACGAAAACTTTCTTAGCTGAATTATGTATTTTGGGTGAAAAAATTTAATTATCTAGTAATTATAGAAACATCATACGTGGATATCGAAAAGCAAAAAAAAAAAAAAAACAAAAAAACAACAACAATAATTTGTGCATATTTATTTTAGTTGATGGTGAACCAATCCTTGAAATTGAACATAGACTACAGGAAAAGAGGATTTGATTTTTAGTCACCATGACAATTGCTTTCAAGAAAATCAATTTTTTTTTTAAAGACAACACACAGAAAAACTGATGAAGTACAGTGTGATTTACATTTCTTTCTTGGAGGGATATCGTTGTAGAAGAATGAGTGGGACAGTAAAAACACATAAAAGTAAATCAAAATTTAAAAAAAAAATGAAAAAATTAATTTTGATTTTAGGTCTCAGTAGATTTCAGAGAGAGAAAAGACGTGGTGTATAGTCTCTTACTTACTGTAGACTTCAACAGTTTTATAGAGATCAATGCCTGTTGCAGAGATTATTGAAAAATTTTTAATTACTCATATTTTCATCACAAAACATTTCTTGTAATAATTATAATCATCCCAAAGGATCTTTTTCAACGTCAACTTAATCATACAAACTTCTAAAGCAATATATTTTATCAAATATCTTTTTGGGTTTAAACTTACATTAACTTGCATAAAATATACATGTAGGTATTGTAAACTGGATTTATTTAAATGCATGGCTATTATATTCATTATATGCGAACTCTATCCATAGATCTAAAAAGTTTTTACACTTAAAGAACAATCATATGAACAAATCCAAACTGTCTTTAGAAAATCTTTTATATACTGTAGATCACTATTTTTTCTTGATACATTATTTTCGCGAGATAGTCATTGACTCTTGATTAGCGAGACAAAATTTTCGCGAATCGTGGTTATTGCTCTATATAATAATAAGGAATGCTATTATACGCGAGAATTAAATTTTCGCGAGCACACTGTCTCGCGTAATTACGCGAAAATAATGTTCTCGCGAGTAAAAAGTGATTTACAGTACTGTTTTACACCTGTACACCTTAGTTCAAAATTTAAGTAATGAATCTCCTAGCTGGAGAAAACATATTATTTTCATATAGTATTGGCTTGATCAAAATATCTGAAAACTTTTTAAAAAATTCTTTTTTATTCACAGTTATATTTAAAAAGCTCTGATCATAGGATAAAGGGGGATCAATATCTTAAACAAACAAGAATCAAGTTGAAATTTGGCTGATTCACTACTAACTCAAGGAAACGTTTTAATCTGTGGGCAAAATGTGAATGTGAAAACCAAGTAAAAGTTTTTAAACAATCCGCAATTTCACATCAATGACACTTAGAAAACCATGTCCCAAAGCCAACTGATAATGGTATCATTTATAATTTTTGGAATAAAATTGTAGACCGGATATATTCCTGATAAGCTGCAGATTTTTTTCATGGCCCTTGCAGTGTAAAAGAAGACGTGGAGGGCCGTGGGTATGGCTGCTAAATCGGCCAGTATTGAGGGCTCGTTGGGATTGCTTTTACAATTACAGCAACATTCCGCGTAACACCTTCCATTTTCTCTGATGACCGAGCAGCAACAGCAGGGAAAAAATGTCTTGCAACTAAAAAGAACGAAAAGCAATCATATATGATTTTGAGATTGCAAGAAAGGACATCTTCCAACATTATAAAAAGAAATATTTAAGGAATGTTTAAAAAGTTTTGTGTGAGTTATTAGTGTGTGAAACACAGACTTGTCAAGTAGGCATATTTCATGAAGACTATTAAACTCGTCATTTTCTTTGTCTAAAATCATAAAAAAATATACTCAATATTTGAATTTCTCTCTGCCCTATTTCGTTATACTTTTACTAACGCCGCTGTAGCCTAATTGTGACGTCACGTTAACGTACGTTTCTTTGTGTATATTTTTACGCGTGATAATAGTATTCAAATCAATTTCACGGTAGGCTTACTACAAAAATACAGCAAATGTAATAATTAACAAATATTAAAATAATTTTTTCATTAACTATGTACTTACTCAAAACAACAACAGCAACACGGACAAAGGCATTTCAGCAAACCATTGCAGAACTTTTTGATACAATTACCAAAGCAATCACCACACTTCTGACAAGGATTTCTGCAGCAACCATCACTTTTGTCACCTGCTGATACTTTTATATTTGTTATGTAGCGCCAAATACTGCTTAAACAAGCTACCAATCCATTCATGAATCGTTTGATAGTCTTTGAGTCCCATTCCACTTCGCAATCCAAACAAAGAAGTTTTTCGTATCGAGAAAGTAGAAAATTTTGTGGTATTTCAATAAATGTCGTCACTAAGAATACTTCAGTCCGTTCATCCAGATGATTTGGAATTTCTTCGGTAGGATCTAAGCGGTGATTCTGAACAATCTGGTAAACGATGTTGGCCATCTGAAGAATGGCGAGGATAGTGCCGGCAATGCAAACATACAAAAATTGATTCGCCACTTCCCCTGAATCAAATTCTTCTTTGCAATATTTGTCGTTATCTTCAATAGGATCTTCCATGTCAGTGTACTCTATCCAGTCGAATGTTAAATCCAGGATAATCAAAATGGCTGAAAATACGCGACATCCAGTATACCACCATACATTTCTTGGCTTAGGTGATTTCGCTTTATCTTCTTGTTCCTGATTGTGGTCGATTTGATTTCGCCGTTGTCCATACGGAAGGACAGAATCATGAAAATCTTCTACAGGACCCACTAGGGTTTTACCTAAGCCTCGATCTTTCTGTGTCATTTGCATGTTCACAGGAGGACGATTTGATTCCGTGGATGGAAGACTTTGTGGAACATACCCCGGCAAATAGTAGTTTGGCGGAACATTTCCAGATGAAAAATGGTTCCCACTGCCAGGATATATCTCATGTCTTCCATGCTGACTCCCGCCTATATATATTCCAGTGTCCCTGTATCTAGTTTCTATGTTTACAGAGACATGGTTGAAGTTCCCGTACGAATGCATTCCCCTTTCGCTGTTTTCTATCCTTTGTTCTTCTTTAGTGCTATATCTTGTCTCTTGCGACGCATACTAAGTTCTATGGGTTTACCAATGCTCATTTGCCTTCGATATCTTTCAGATCCAACTGAAGGGCATAGGGTTTCATTATCTCTCTTGTGTATAATAAAACGGTTGATAAATTTAAAACAAAAATCTACATTAACAGAATGTTAAAAGCACCCCGATGTTTCTTAGTTGAATTTAAGATTTTAGATAATTTTGTTCATTTATTCCAAAAGATGAATGTATTCGGAGTGTAATCTGCAGGGATCATTCATTGTTTAGAAGTCCAGACGATTTGGTCGGTTGATCAAAGTTGGACAGAGTAATAAAAAAGGTAATATAGATGGGAAAATGATTTATTACAATGAAATATCTTTTAAAAATAAGTTATACTTAAGTCTGGTTATCTTCACAGTTTCGAAACATATAGCATAATTATCACAAAATTATTGAACAGATAGGCCGATCTCTTAAAGGATATAATTATTAATTTATTTAATTTTAGTGGGTCGGAAGAATTGTTTTAGATCTCAGTGCGAGATAATCATTAATAATTATTTCAAAATTCAGTGAATAAAATCAAGGCGGCATATTGTTGGATTGTTTGTTTTACTAACTAAATGCCCCGAGGAGGATCGAAGCAAAACTTATCAATTCCCTACTGTCGAAACATATAAGACTGTGTTATCGTGGCTACATTCAAATGCCGTTATAGTTTTCAATATCAACATAACTGAATATTTTCAATCATTTTTAAAGAAGATCATTGCCAATAATCAATGCACAAACGACACTAAGCCACGTGCATGGATTTCTTGAACATTGTCTGTTCCATCAGTTATGCATACAATGACAAATTCATCTATAATACAACAAATTCATCTATGATATTAACATATCAAAATTTATTTTGAAAGCTTTTCATACTATGGAAAGCCAACGGGTTCAAAATTCCAACTCTGTAATTCTTAAAATGTACACATGTAAACCTGAATTTGTAAATTGTAAATCTTAGATTCATAATTTGTCAATTGTTCTTTCACAATTTGTTAATTGTTCTTTTACAATTTGTTAATCGTAAATTATCCAACATAAATTGAAAAGTGTGAAAATGTAAATGCAAGTTATGTCAATGATCACGTGTAATTCGTAGACTTGCGATTTGTCAACTTTTGAAATGTACTTGCGTGACTTGTAAATTATGCAATGTTGCACATTAAGACGAAAGAGGGCGCTATAAGGGTGGAAAGTCATTTCGCCCCAAAGGTAAAAAAGATCCTTAAACAACTGAGTTTTGCATATCATGCCTTCAAACGGTCTCTTATACTGTTTACAAATGAGATTTGAGTTTAGTGCAGAGAAGATCGGGGATCTAAACACACAAAGCATCGCTCGAACACAGAGGACAGACGCGGATCTCGTGAATTTTTTTTCGAAAGAGGGGTCCGGTTTCCCAAATCCCCTGTTAAATCCACGCAAGGAGAGGTGCCGAGGGAATAGAACCCGAAATTTTTTTTCTTCAGTTTTATAAAGAAGCGTAAAGACTGGGCACGTATTATCGGAGGGGGCTCCCCTTTCCCGCTTTTTCTCGAACATGTTTCACTAAAATTTAGTATCAAAACCCATCATAACTATGGATCAAATTGAATTGTAAGAACCATACCACAGCCTCCCCCAGTGTCAATTATTTTTCTGGGTGTCCCTTTCAAAAACGTTAGTACGTGCATGACATTGGCGTCAGAAGCAAATTGAAAGTGGGGGGGGGGGGCTAAGTGAAAAAAAATACCTTCAAAAAATACCTGACAAGCCCAGAAAAAGGGGGGATGTCCATTTCCCAAACACGAAAATCCTATTTTGTGGGAGGGGGGGGGGGGTAAGGTTCGAACTTCAGTACCAAATTTTTTTCCTAACACCACCACTTTCCCGATTTTTAACCTATACTGCGACGTGTCTGTGGAAAGTGGGGAGGGCGGGGGGTAAACCTACAAAGAAATGTTCAATGTCTATACTAAGAATATATTTGGAAAAAGTTCCGACACCTACGGATGAGGACTATGTTTTTCACGTGTTCTGTTTTGGTGTTTTGGTGTGAGCGTTGGACCCAAGGCACGGAAGCCTTTATTCTGAAGTTTATTTTGTTTCATGAAGATGCATGGAATAAACTATATGTAACCCAACAAAACTGAGATTCTCCATACCTTCTTGGATGTGTTCAGCTCTATAAAATCATCTGATTAATGTATACAAACTCAATGAGTGGTGCATAAAAGAAGGATCCCCCCACACTTCCTAGTAGTGTGTTAGTCTTAAATTTGATATTATACTACTAGTATATATTAATGCTTATTTATAAGCGCAAAAATAGTCAAATGTTTGGAAGAAAATAAGAGAAAAACTACGTACTTAATATCAAAAATGAACATATGATCACTTCATATAACTAAAAAAAAAAAACTCCTGTGTACTTTACAAAAAGAAGAATGGGTTTGTCAATACATGTATATGTTCAAATTCCAGGATTTTTTTCTAAATTAGGGTGGAGCTTCATGTCCACTCAAAAAATTCATCCAAAGGCAAAAAAAAAAAAAAATTGCATGTGTGCGGGAAGGGGGGGGGGGCAATTCTCGTTGATAAGCTGTTTCAAATATTTATATGACTCTTCTACATATTTATATTTACAGAGAGGTTCATAACATCTGAAAGGGGGGTCCAAGGTTATTTCCTAATTGTTTTGCTGTATAAAATTCATTAATGAAAATCCGAGGGGGTCGATCCTGGCCTCTATATACATGTAACCCCCTACCCCCCCCCCTCCTACCGAATCTGCCAGTAACACTACAGAAAAGGCTTTTTTTAAAAATTAGAAAATTATTCAGGATTTTACTAGAGTATACCCCTGTTAATACATTATTATTTACAAACAGTCTTGAATTACAGTCCTTACAAACAGACATGAAATTAATTTATTCATCAGCCTTTCTTTATATGTTTGTGTGGTAGAACGTTTTTTATCATCATCGTCGTCCTTTCCACCCTGTGGTGTGTATGGCAGCAACAAATTTCCTCCACCCTTGTCTATACTGGGCCAGTCGCGTCAATGATCCTCAGGTCTGGTGCATTTCTAAACGCATTGGGGAAATGATTAAATTGTTAATCAACGAATTAAACTGCCACCGTTATAGCGCCCCCTATCGTCTTAATAGGTCATAGCATAATGCAACCTTGCATAATTTACAAATCACGCAAGTACAATTTACATTTCACAAGTTGACAAATCGTAAGTCTACGAATTAAACGAGAGCATCGGCAAAGCTTGCATTTACATTTTAGACTAGTCAAATTACGCATGGATAGTTACAACTAACAAATAGTGAAAAAACAATTGACAGATAATGAAATTAAGATTTACAATTTACAAATTCAGGTTTACATGTGTACATTTTAAGAATTACAGAGTCGGAATTTTGAACCCGTTGGCTTTCCATATTCATACAGATGTAAATTTAAACAATAAAATTTCTTTCTTTGTTAGTACAGGAATTAATGTCACAGCTGTTGCAGAAAAAAATTCATCTAACCAGCGTAAGCATTTTATCATTTTAAAAAAGACTGTAAAACAGAATATTTACACAATGTAATAGTTTTTTTAGAATAAAAGTTTTTTTTTTAAAATTTTATTTGTATATTAATTTTCGATTTTTCTTATTTCTGAGAGATAAAATATACTGTGAAATCACTAGTGAGAATTTTTGTTTATGAAAAAGGTACGGTTTCAATACAAATATAGCCTGTATTTTTCTGAAATAGATTGATTGTATATTGTTGAACGTCCCTCTCGAGAATTTTTCACTCATTATGGAGACGTCACCGTATGCCAGTGAAGGGCTTCAAATTTAGACCTATACTCGTGTCAGTAGATAATAACCCCCCCCCCCCCACGTGCATTCTCCATTCACAATACACAGTACCAAACTGCATTAACCGAAATACAAATAAATATATAAAAGGAAAATATATCAAGCACTATACCTCAACTCCTTTTATTTTTCATTAAAATCAATCCACGATTGTCTATAATTTATCCATAATTTATATTGATAAATTGTTTATATTTACTGACATTTCCATTTTCCAGCATACGGATTTATATATAATAACCCCATTGTAAATTACAGATGAAATAAGAAATAAATTACCAACCGAATATGTATTACATATTATTAAAGAATATTTATTTTATTTCTGTTTATTTTAACGCATGTGGAATATTCCATGTACGAGTGAATAGGTCTCTAGTGATGACGTATTACGCATCTTATGAACGATAACTCATTATATGAACGATAACTCATGTTCGACTTCTTTTACGCCATATCTTCTAGTCATTACCTTTTTGGTATCTGGTAATAAAAAAGCTTAAAATGTAACATTCCAAATGACTGGTTGGCTGATCTTGCCATTCCCGAAATACTCGAAATGGTAGGGAAGCCCAATAGTGCAAACCGATACTAAATAAAAAAACTAAATATTAAAAACGAAAATAAACAATTTAAAAAGAAATTAATTCTTCAAAACAAACTGCAAGATCCATGTATTTTAAGTGTGGGGATTATAATTATCCATCATGCAGATTGATGCAAAAACAGAATCCATTTTTTTAACTTATGTTTTTGAACTTTTGTGATGGTATAATAAATCTTTAGCTATGTTAACTGCCTATATCTTCGATTATCTGATGGGGACAAATACTTGCCCCGTGTACTTATGGTTATCGTTCATCTATTCACGAGAGTACCAGTGTGTTATCCTAACGTTCTAATGTTGGAAGAGAGGTCATAACTCATTTGGATATTATGTATGGATCCCCGGAAGGAACACATATGTATTTAATATAAGAGGATATTTATGTGCCTCTTCCATAATGCTATGTAACGTACTTCTAGTCATGTTCAAAGCTTTGTAACGACAGAAGATGTCTTATGATAGGAATGACACCCATAAACACTGCAATTGGTAACAAAGTGATGGTATGTATCCCTTAAAAAACTCTAGGAAAGTTTCCAAAGTTTTTGAGCTTTTGGTACGGCCCTGATATGATTAGAGAGAAACAAATAGATGTTAAATATAAAATTAAATGAGAGGATGGAAAGAGGAAAGAAAACTATGGCAATGCATATAAATAGAATCAGATCCTATGGGTCGCAGAACTGCAGTCTCGAGACAGAAAGTGTATACGTAGTTGGGAACAAAAATTAAGAAGTAGAAGATTCTGATTATGAAAAGTAGAGAGTTTGCACACATATACATGTCTATCAAATACATATCTGAATACAAAAAGTTGAGTTTACAGTTCGAAGACAGCAAAAAAGACTTTATAAGAGCGTTCAGATAAACAGTTTACGCATATTTTTAATTCAACGATTCGTTATATGTTTTTCAGATCCTTGACAAAAATGGCTTTGAAAAAAATAGCTCCTAGGAAACTAGGCTCCCTGAGTTTATTTTTTAGCCACAACCAAATTCATCTAAGATGGTTAGCAGCTTCGTTACAGCTGTGAATGCAAAAACGGTTGATGGAGAACATAGCGGATCAGTGTCCAGCCCACAATACACATATGCAAACAGTTTGCTTACAGGCATATTTAGGGATTCAGTTGTATCTTTGATACCATTTTTGTCCCTTGGTGCAAGATTTCGACTTCTAGGCTTGACATGGGTGTACAGACTGTTAAATAATAATGTAGTTAGATCCAATCATTAACTAAGATAGAGTTGGAGGTAAAATATATGTAAAGGATTCTTGTATCTTGTATTACACAGTAGGTTATATCATTACTCTTGCAACAAGTTTATGTATCACTATAGTCAAAACTATCAAAAGAAAAGGCAGAAAAAAAAGAAATTCTATTTTGGCGCGGCGGAGGGGATTGATAAAAATCAGTTAAAAATGTGAGAAACCATGCAATTTATATATTTTGTTGTCTGTCAGTTTTATTCTACAGCCGAAATACTTAGGAAATTACTGAGTGTAGTTGATAAAACGTAATATCCTGTAGCAGTTGATTTTAAAGTAAATGTACTGATATAAAAACTGATTGAGTTTAATGTAACCAATTGACTTCAATTCGGTTAAGTGGATTGATAACAAATATTGCATGTGTAAGCCTTACCTTAATTTTATTGAATAAATCAAGGTCATAAATATAAAAAATGATAATTCCTTTCCTTCTGTGCAGGAAGAAAACTTTTTCCTGGATTCGACTTAATTTTTATATATACTAGTAGTTTTTGTCTTCAAATGATTTTTTTTTTTGGGGGGGAGGGGTATAAAATGTTTTAGGAAGAGGAGACATTGTACTGCACATTATGTAAAGTACAAGAGATAAACAATCTTCATTTTATGCAATATACCTTCCTAAATGATAACATTATCTAGTAATGTTCAGATCATTACTAAGAATCTGACTTACAGCGCTTGCTAAACCTATATAAAAACTCTTAACAAATACAAGTAAGTGCACTGCAGTTATATAGACGTTGCAAAAAGTTAGCAGAATGGATCGTCGACGAGAAGAAGACATAGAAATGGGTGTGATGAATAGGGGATATTCGCATGATGAAGACCAAGATTCCAATGAGATGAGACGCGCCTTGAACCAGGAGGAGAAGGAGGAGAGAACACCAAGGAACGTATGCTGGTATACGTTCACTCGTGTTTTGTCAGCGCTTCTGATAATTGGGAACGTCGTTTTGGATTGGCTTCAATATTTTGACATTAAGGACCCAATCACTGATATCAAGGACAAACTTTCTGATATCATTCACGCACCTGCTTCGTCCGAAGGTTTGAGTACCAGTGATCCATTACCCAAAAACGCATCATACTGCACGGATGACTCAGTAAAAGATGAACTGACGAAAAAGTTCATGTACTTTACCATTGCTGGATCCGTTCTCTCTGCCTTTCAACTAGCCAAGATAATTTATCAGATAGTTTTAAATCACAAGCGTGACCCAGCAGAGACGATACCAGACAAAATTGATGGCAAAGTTGAGGTCTTCTTCACAACATTGTTTGTGGAGATTCCACAAAACTACCTACTCCTTAAGTACGATAACATCATATGTTTTAACTGTGAGATAGAGTGGAATGGAAAGAAAATTAAGCGCTTTTTAAACGGCCTTGGCTCTGAACTAGCCAGTGTTTGGCGCTATATCACCAGTAGCAAATGTTGCGATGGAAGTGGTGGAGTTGTCAAACGTAAAGTTCAACGCAGCAATTGCTGTTGCTGTAGTTGCTGTAGTGGAGCCCTTTGCACAAGAATGTTTTGGACCTGCGTGGAAGGCTGGTTTCCTTGTGTCATTCTCTGTCGGGGGTGAGTTAAAGTTTATATTTATACTTCAATTACATCAATTAATCTTCTTGAATTTAAAATATAAGTAGACTATATATTTTTCAAATAAACAATAATATATTAACGCATCAATGTTTTTGTAATAGCTTTGAGATAATTTGAAAACTATCATTGTTTAAAGGTTGATCTGTATTAAAATCTACACTCTCCTTAATTACATCAATTTTATATGTCTTTTTTTTAATTCTTGTGGGAAAAAAATTAATAATACTATGCTAGTTTCCTGCTGTCTTCGTTATTATAAGCAGAAAATTATGGCTAAAACAAATAGTACTTTTTTGCAAATTTACAAATTTATTTTATGCTTCGTGCTTCACAACAAAGAAACAAATTTATCAAAATGTACTTAAATTTTTATATATTTAGTAAATTATTTGATGGAAAGAAATTATCTCAAGCCACGAGATTTTTGCCCATTCTATTTTCACAAACATGTGGTCTTTGTTCTTAAAAATGTAAATGACACACATTCATTCACTGAAACGATGATCTGAAGCTTTATGCAAGGCACCTTTGCCCAATGAAAGTTATAGTTATATCTTACACTTAGTAACCACGAGTCTACACTGAAGGCATGTGAAGGCTCTTGGATCCAGAGCACATATCAACAGCAATGTTAAGAGCAAGTCTCTATCCGGTCAGTCATGAATTAAGGTCGACCAAATATGGAAGGAATGGACGAAAGGACTGATCTGCAAAATCCCAAAAGAAAGCAGCCTACAGTACTCTAGTAGCTAGAGAGAGGTGACCTTGCCGCCCAAAACTAGCAAGTGCTCAGCGAAATACTCATCAACAGAATACAGACCGGAACTAACAACTTCGTTAGAAAAGCGCAAGTAGAATTCTAAAGAGAGAGGGGCTGTTAACCGATCTTCATTCTTATGAACATCATTTAGCAAGCTACCTTGAATACCAATTTTGTGGACTTGAGAAAGTTTTCTATTCGGTGCAAACAGACAGTCTTTGGGTCATCATGAAGAAATAAGGAGTACCTGATATAGATTATTAAAGCCCTGAATGAAGACTACGGTGCTCTGTGATTGATGACAACGAGAACACAGCCCCTTTCCCTGTGATGACCAGCTTCAAACTGCTGTTTGTCAAGTCTCTTGTTTCTTATTAAAACACTAGATGATGCATCAGACAATCACAGAAGAGAGAACGCTAATTCGATGAGACTCTTCCATTATGCTTGAGGTTCTCTACTTTTAGCATGACATTGCCTTCCTGTCATCAACAAGGTCTACAAGATGGTTGTAGAATATTCCGAACAAGCCAGTTCAGAAGATGTCAAAAGTAGAAAGCATCATTGGCGAGGTTAGGAGGAGGAGATGGAACTGGTATGGCCATTTGCTTAAAAAAATTCGACTGATGGCTGTGCTATGACCGCCAGGAGGGCATCTGAGGTAGAGGGAAGCGAGCGGAAGGTAAAAATTGGAACAGTGTATTGTGGAGCTCCTGGAACGCAGCACACAGTCGAAAGAAAAATGTCCAAGACTTGTGTGTTGTGTCTTCTATCAAAGGAAGAATCCAGGTAAGGACATGTTTGGGGAAATAAAATGGCCACAAAACTCTTGGCTTGCGACGATAACTAAATGAATGTGTGAGAGAAATGGTTTTGTATGAGTCATGAAATAGTTTTAAACCTTAAATACCTCTTTTATATTTTGAAGTTAAACATACCTTTCAAAACGGATCTACCTATTTAGTAACAAAGTATACCTATTGCTCTATATAACAGCAAGAGGATTTCACAAGACATTTAGAAGTAAATTCTTTGTAGTATTGAGTATAAGTATAAAACGGCTGGCTTTGTCTCAAATCTCAGTTGTGCTGCAGACGGATGGCGCTATTTACTTAAGATTTTTGGAAACAAATAAGTTTAAACTTATAAATTTGTTAAATATGGATTAACACTTCTTTCCGATTTTTTGCTATACAAATTATGCAGTTCTTTTTTTTTAAATTAAGGAAAATAAATGTTTCCTTGTAGGTATGAGGGATGTTCTTATTTGACATGCAGCTACTTAACGTATAATAGCGGCTTCTTCTGGTGGAATTGTTGTCCATTTGCCTGCTGCTACTCCTGTTGTGAGGGTCCGAAGTGTAAATCTTGTGAAGATTGCTTCAAATGTGACAATTGCTGCAAATGTTGCGACAATTGTTGCAAATGTTTCGACAATTGTTGCAATTGTAGCGACGTGTCGTGTGGTCAGTGTTTGATTGATTGTCTACTCAGCATCATTCGATTTTTCGGTGGAATATTTACGACATTATATACTGCTATGTATGTTTTACGTGTACTGGAGTATTTCTGTGTGGTTCTCCCGACAGAGTTTGCTGAGGCATTTGTTAGCATTATGGATACCGTGTTTGGTTGGATTTTAAACTGACATTATTTTGGCGGTCTTCTTTTTAAAGAACAAGGTTAACTTTTGCCTTTTTTTTGCCTTCAGAATTTCTTTAAAACTGAAACTGCTTAGTTTTAGATAACAATGCATTGAATATCTTTTAGATATTTGGTGATTGCTTATCTTTCAAACATGACGTAATTTTCTGGTTAGTCAATGCATTGTGACATTGTGAAATGCGTCAATTTCCTCATATTCTGAAAAAGTCTACAAAAAGGCCAATTTTAAAAGCTATTTTTGATATTTAATATAGAGCGCAACCTTTTATTTAAAATATGCAACTAGTAAACGACAGAACTGATTCTTAGGATTCAAAGACATGTTTTATTCTTTAGATTATAGAGTGCGCTCATATTATTTTTCTTTATTGAAAGTACTCAAGTATACTTATTTACCTTAAAATTCATGAACATTGCAATTTTAAAAAGCCAGTTCTCCAAGACCTGGACTTTTAGGAGAAATTTTTAATAGAACTGAAAGCACCTAGTCTCTGTTTTATTTTAATACTTCAAATGGAAAATCAAGTGTTAATCAATCAATTTGTAAAGCTACATGGCCATTTTATGCATAGCGTAAACAAAGCTATTTCTGTTTGATTATCCTATACTTGAAACATTTTAAATTAAACTACGTGTACTGATTGAAATGATTTATCAATAAATAATTAAAGAATATTGAGATTATTTATACAGAGAAAAATGACACAAAACTCAATATAGAATTTATACTTATTTATTGTGGAGAGTATTGGCCGTGACACGATACAAAATTGTGCGACGCCATTAACAGTGCGACATTTAAGTCCGGACACGACAAAGTCCGGACTTTTAGGTACCCTTTCGAAAAGACATAATTTAAAATTTTCCTGAAGTTTGGTGGGATTTTTTATTCTCATCTCATCATGTCAATTTCAACTTCCACAATGTTGTAGTTTTTGTATAATCTTCTCCCAAAACTAAAAATACCATGGGAGAATGGGGGGATTTTTCATCCCACCTGAAATCCCACCAAAATCCCACGGGAGAAAAAAAACTGTGAGGGATTTTTCCTCCCATGGGATTTATTATCCCATAATTGAAGAAATAGGATTAAAAATCCCATATTAGCCATTCATAGGATTTAAAGTCCTATAAAGTGTAATTTGGGAATTTTTATCCCATAGGATAAAAAAAACCTTACTATAAGGACATGTGTACTTAAGCGAATGCTTCGTTAGATCACAGTTTACTACATTAATTAGGTCATTCTTTAGCATCGTCATTGGCGTTGTGGTAAACTTTTCACATTTTCATTTTAACTGATGTGAAAATATTTAGTCCTATTGAAATATTTATTTTATATTTTATTAATTTAAGAAGAATATTTATTTCTACTGAAATCAATTAGCCATAATTACTTATATCCTTTGATCCGCCACAAACTTGAAAAAAATAATATCCACTTCCCTTGGATCCATCACTTATGTTTAGATCATGATCACAAATGACATATAAGCCAAATGTTTGAAATCAATAACCCATAATCACTAATATCCTTTGATCCACCACAAACTTAAAAAAAAAAATATCCACTCCCCTTGGATCCACCACTTGAAAATTTAGATCATTATCACGCATGACAAATAAGTTAAGTGGTTGAAATCAATTAGACAAAATCATTTATATCCTTTGATCTGCCACAAATTAAAAAAAAAATATCCGCTCCCCTTGGATCCAACACTTGTAAGTTTAGATCATGATCACACATGACACATATACACTGGAAGATAAATGGTTGAAATCAATTAGCCATAATCATTATCCTTTCATACACCAAATTTTTTTTTTAATATAATATCCACTCCCCTTGAATCCACCACTTATGAATTCAGATCATGATTACACACGACATATTAGCTGAAATGTTTGAATCAAATAACCATAATCATTAATATCCTTTGATCTGCCACAATTTTTTTAAAGGAAGATAATATCCACTCCTCTTGAATCCACCACTTGTTAGTTTAGATCATGATCACACATGACATAAAAGCCAAATGGTTGAAATCAAATTTAAATTTACACTAATTGAGAATGCTTCCATATAAATATGACCAATCATGGCTTTGCTGTTCTCAAGAAGAAGATTTTTTAAGATTTTTCCTGTATATTCCTGTCTAAAATTTTGATCATCCATGTTGGGCTGGCCCTGCCCTACGCCCTATCTATCTATACTTTGATCCATATAAATATGACCAATCATGGCCTTGCTGTTCTCAAAAAGAAGATGTTTCCTATATATTCTTATGTAAAACTTTGATCATCCATTGTGGCCCCGCCCTACCCTCGGGGTCATGATTTGAACAAACTTGAATCTACACTACCTGAGGATGCTTCCACATAAGTTTCATCTTTCCTGGCCCAGTGGTTCTTGAGAAGAAGATTTTTGAAAGATGCCATTAATTTTTCAGTAATTTTCCATTTAACTCCCCTTGGAATGGGGTATGGCCCTTCATTTGAACAACTTGAATCCCCTTTACCCAAGGATACTTTGTGGCAAGTTTGGTTGAAGAGTCAAAAATGTGAAAAGTTTACAGATAGACGGACGCCGGACAAAACATGATCAGAAAAGCTCACTTGAGCTTTCGGCTCAGGTGAGCTGAAAATATTGCAACCCATTCCCTTTGGTATCCATCATCATATCTTTGGATCTTGTTCACCCATCTGCTCTATATGTCATCAATATTTTTTTATCATTAAGTTAGATATTTTCATGAATGAATTTAGATATAAGAATGAAATTTAAGTGCATCTATATTCTGCTCTTAATAAAAATTAAACTAGGGGTACTGTGAGCAATGGGCTCACTAAATGATACCCCCTGATGAATATAATGACAAAGTCCATGTTTTTGTATGGGAAACCCAAAATATGTGTTGAATCAAAAAATAAAATAGGGGGTCACAATGGCAATATATATATATGTAATAAAGATTCTGTGAACGTCTCATCAAATTTCATTCAGTGGTATGAGACTCAAAGGAGTTGTGGAGAAGAGATGGGTACCCCAAAGCATAACAGACAGATGGACGGATATCTGGATTAACTTTCTAAATATTATAATTTAAGATATAAGAAGACCCAATTTTTAAAAGAAAGCTTCTCTATGAATCATCATGTTAGGGTCAGTTAATCCCTTTTGGTGTGTTTTCTTGATTTTTGTCCCCCACATTCGGAAAGCGAGGGGACATTTAATTTCATTCATCTGTTCGTCTGTAAGTGTCTGTCTGTCTGTCACAAAATCTTTAACTTTGGTCATCTTTTGAATCATGAGAAGAGACAAGCTTTCATATAACACATGTGTATCACTTTTGACAAGACTTTTCTTCATACAATATGATTTTTTACCCTGTGACCTTGAAGTATGACCTGCTCTTCAAAAATGTAATTCTTCCTTATGACTTTTGATTTAGAAGAGATAGGGCTTTCATATTTTACATGTGCATTACCTTTGGCAATATATATTTCTGAGCATGCTATGATTTCAGACCACTTGACCTTGGAAGCCAATATTGGCCTTCATGTTTGACCTAATTGAAAAAAAATGGTGATAACATACAGTCAAAACTGCCATAGCGACCCACTGTATTAAGCGACTCACTGTCACATGTGACCGTAAAAATTCCCCCCAACGCTTTTCCCTATATATTCTACCTGCATTAAACGACCACCTGTCTAACGATTTCAACTGGGCGAACCCACCAAATTCAAACATCAACAATGTGTGTTTCTTTTTTCTAACCGTCCCGGGTTAACCGCGGAGGGTCAGCACACATACAAATTGTTCAAATCAATCAATCAATCAAATCAATCAATCAATATGTCATATCTCAAATTCCAAATATTAAGCATATCAACTTATTTTATCAAATCTTGCATATCAAATATCATTAATATCTCAAACTTCATAGATCAAACATCTCAAACTTCAAATATCAACATTTCATATTTCAAACCTGTACTATGTGGTACAGCTCTAAAGTATATATTACTGTCACCAAGAGTAAGCTTATTAGCTTAGTTTACACTAGCATTAGCATTTCAACAAGGTGACAGTTTATTACAAGTTTCACACAAACATTCAGTTATCAGTTGACTTGGTGTGCGCAGACGCTAAACACTAAATAAATGTCTTCTTTTTGAAAAAGTGCCACGACGGTTTCTTTTTGGTCAAACTATCAATCCTGCTACCAACTGGATTTTATAAACGATAGCAAGTTTAACAATTTTGCAACACTATTCAGTACGCATATTGCGTAGAGACAGTTAAATCACTTTTAGCACAATCCTTAAAGCTGGCAATGGGCTTGATGTGGGCATCATTTGGTAGATTCTTCACTTTAACTTCTCCTTAGACAGCACCAGGATATTTTTCTATGGGTATAAGGTATTCATCTCGGACATGCAGATCAAAGCTGTTTCACTGCAAAATAAAGCAAAAAACCAAGCAACAGAATATCATTCTTACTTAGAGAAAATGGAACATTCAAAAAGGGTAGATCGAGGGAGGGCGGGTTTTTAAAGTAACAAAACATTTCATGTATTTTTTAGCAAGCAATTGTTGTGCGACTTTACCTTTGAAAGGTTCAGGAAAAAGGAATGTGAAGAACAAACCCGACCTTTTATATACAACACTTGATGTGTCAACCAAACCCGCCCCTTAAAAGCCAACTTTCAAATAACAAATACTTGGGACCTATAAACTAGTATATAAGTCCCTTCAAATATACTTTTTATCGTAAAATAAAGGCATCTATTTTGTATACAGAAATAGATGCTAATAAATTTGAAGGTCGGAGAAATATCTCGATTGAATTTCGTGTGTAAAGAGCATATGGTTATTTATTTCAAGAAGACTTACAGGTGTATTTCGCACACGAAGTTAAATCAATTTTGTGAAGTTTATATAATTTATAGGAAATATAACTTGTCAGCGTAAATGATGATCATAAAATCTATTTTCTGGGACGAATAGATCTCTCTAATCCGTCCCTCGTAAAACTATGCAAATAGATTTTCAAATGAGTATGCTAAATAAACAACTAGAATTAACTTGATTTTCAATTCCCCGAAAGGAGGGGATTCTCAAAAAATCAAAAGTTTATTTAGTTGGGTGTTACCATCTATAAATTGGGTAAGTCAAGTTATTATTGAACATTTTCTTCTTTAAAATATAATAAAAAAATTCGTTAACAAAAAAAGGTGGGGAGGGTGGTAGGCTTCCTGCAACACACTAGCCCACTACTCCCACTCAATTCAAAATCCTACATATCTTGAAGTTTCGTTCTTATGAGTGGAAGTCAATTGCCCCAGAAAATGAAACTTTCCAAAATCATTATTATCCATTTGTAATTTTTCAATCTATTTTACTCTGATGTGGATCGAGAAACTAAATCCTTATATTCACCTTGAACTATTCCATCAGATATTAATACTCATCCAACGTATTTTTAAAAAGCAGTAATTAGGTTTCTTACATTCTTTTAGAAAAATTGATTAAGGTATCATTAAAGGTCAACATGTCCAAAAATATATTTTTACATTAGCTCCAAAACAATGTGAGGTATAAAGTTAAACCTTTTATAGTTTATAAATATATCATTTTTTTACAAATAGAAAGTATCACTTGAATACAAATATTTGAAAAAATGTATATTTATCGTGAAAAATATAAAATTTAATTTTATTTAATAAAATTTAAAAATTTGCATATTTATAAAAAAAATATGCACCTGCTTAACTATGTACATTTAGTGAAAACCATCCATGCAAAAATAATATACAGTACCTGGCCTGGTATTTTTACACTATATATTTCATTGAAAAAACTGTTTTTATAAAAATTTGTTGTGAAGTCGTTTTCAGCTCAATTTTCATGATTCTTTCACTGAAACATGCAGAATTATTCAAATTCTCTTATCTTAAATGATAAACAAAATGATACTAAAACTATTGAGAATAAATTATAAAATATTGTCAAGACAAAATTTTCTAGCCTCAAATTACAATGATTTCTTAAGAAATTGAAGTCTTAATTTTTTTGTTTTGCACTTGACCTGTGTTTTCACAGTAATGCATAAAGATAAAACTATTTTGAAATAATGTGAAGAAACTACAACAAATTTTGCATTGTGTGATGTTTTAGACATTAAAAAGAAACAACAAATGACACTGCAATAAAATTTAGAAAAAATGCGTTTTTCAATGATATATATAATGGAAAAATAAAATTATGACTCACTTATGGCCAAGTACTGTACATGTATGTTCATCAATGCAAAAATAATTAATGTTCATCAATGCAAAAGTAATATATGCTTAATAATGAAGGGCGTTAGACTTGTTGTAGAGCATACGCTTCGTGACCTGGAGACCTGGGTTCAATTCTCGTTCGCGGTGCCGCGTCAAACTTACTATCTAAACATAGGTAGTGACTGTTCCTTCGCCAAGCGCTCGGCATAAGAAGTGAAATCCACGGGTCTTTCGGATATGACCTTTGTTCAATTTTCGTTCACGGTGGCGCGTCAAACTTAAGATCTAAACATAGGTAGTGACTGTTCCTTCGCCAAGCGCTCGACATAAGAAGTGAAATCCACGGGTCTTTCGGAAACGTAGGTTCCGCGTCACGGTAGTCGTTGGGACGATAAAGAACCCTCACTGCCCAATGGCCCTGATTGCCGATTATAGGTCTAAATTTGAAGCCCTTCATCGGCATACAATGACGTCTCTATATATGAGTAAAACATTCTAGAATAGGACGTAAAACGATATACAATGTACAATCAATGATTGAAGGGCGAGTTGGACGTAAATGGTCTTTGAAAGGCATTGTTGCAAACTGTCGCAATTATAATGATTTTCTAGAGATTAGTGATGTACATGTATAATCTAGGAATGAATTCTCAAGAAGTCTCTAGAATATGTAAGAATGTGATGACCTAGAATTTTATAGAAGTTTCTATTTCCAGATGTTTGGTCAATACTATATAATTACTAGTATATGAGAGTTTTTGTGATCTTGATTATTATTGAGTTGAGTGAGTTTACGTAGAAGAAAGATTGAGTACATATTAGATACATGATTCTGGTAATCTTAGCCAATGTGGTATTGTGATTGTTAACCCTTGTGGGTTTGTTATTTGCTTTTAATCGTCATAATAAATTAGAAAAAGAAGATTTCCGTGTGATTGTGATTTGCCACAGGCATGGCATGAATAAAGACAAAACCCCTATAAAATCCACCATTTGCAATGTACTTTCGGTTTAATATCTTAACATTCGGACAAAGTAAACAAAAAAAATAACCTTCCAGAGGCTATCAAAGTCCAAATTGTCCTTCATTGATAAACTTTTTCTGCAATTATGGCTTTCACGGAATTCACGGAGGCACTTTTAAATTTGAATATTTTTATTCAGTATTTGTTATCGAATGGTACTTCCTATCTGTTAATCAATGATATACATGATTTATAAACTGTAAAAATTTCAACTTTATAAATCACATAGTTTTGTAGCTATTGTAAAAATAAATTTTTCAGCATGTTGACCTTTGATGAAACCTTAACAAATACCATACCTTACAGTGTCTAAGTTGGCTGTTTTGGTTTTCCATGTCTACGGACCCATCATTCTGTCCATAATTTGAAATTTTAACCATAGATAAAAAAAATGTTGTAGACAAATATCTTTTAATATTATTATTTCAGAATATGAATAATTTGAAAATTTTTATTTTTATTTATAACGCGTCAGAATCGGGAAAATTACGTATTTTTCATACATCTTAATTTTCCCCCAAATTCTTTCATTCAGTATGAAAATTAACATTGAAACTGAAATCATTCTTTTTGTTGAAAAGTGAAGCATGCAATATTGCACCGGATTTAGTTAAACATTGAACGACAAAATCAATACATGAAGACAACGTAATGTCGTAAACTAATATTTAGAGCTTTGCAGAAGTGTTCCGTCTGACATTTTAGATAAGAGCAAGAATTTTTTTTCTAACTGAAAAAGTACGACAGCAGTATAAAAGGTAAATATATATATATGTCAAGAAAAGATATCCTTATCTCGTCGTCAAGATCGATCAGTAGGGGTAATTCTGACAGAAATAAGCAGTAAAAATTCTTTAAAACATCTTTAAAAATACAAAAATGCCTCAGCGACGAAGAAAACATTTCTCGGACATAGAGTCGGGTGATTGCAATGAAGGCTTTTCCAATGATGATGACGGGCGAAGCATAAATGGATCCGGACGTGCATTTGCGGTGGCAAGTAAAATTCTTTCGGCAGTTTTGATAATAACGAACGTTGTTCTTGACTGGATGCAATACATGAGTATGGATGATTCTGTTGAAAGAAATGCAACGACAAACGTAAGTTCAAAACCAAATCCTACAAAAGAGTGCGTAGATGGATCAGAAAAAGACGAACTGACCAAGAAGTTCATGTACTTTAGCATTGCTGGCTCTTTTTTGGCGTTACTGCAAATTATTAACATTATAATTCAGATTAAAGGGAAATCCAAGAAAGATAATAAAAACCACGGTCTTAATGGAAAAGCAGAAGTTTTTTTCGTCACAATTCTTATCGAAATTCCTCAGAACTACATGCTTCTACGGTACGAGGACATATGTATCAATACCTGTGATACTGGGTGGGACCTCAAGAAAATAATGAGATTTGCCAATGGTCTGTCCTCTGTTATAAGCGCCCTTTGGAGATACATAACCAGCATTTCCCTTCCACGAAGTAAAGAATGGGGAGATTCTTGCTGTTGTTGTGGTTCTCTTGACAACTATTCTTCGAATTGTGGCAAATTTTGCAAGGGTTGCATTGAAGACTATTTTTTTTGCATTTTTCCGTGGTTGAAGTGCCTTTCAAGAAAAGGGTAAGTAAAAAAAGAAGTATTTGAATTAATTCATACGATTGTATTTATTTTTCAGGTATATAGTTGACTTTTTTAATGCGGCTTAACAATTTAGCACACGTTTCAAAGTCATAATTCTTTATACATGTGTACTAAAAAAAGTGTAGAATTTTGCTTTAATTTTATCTGTAAAAATGAGTCTAATTCGACCAATTTCTTGTGGAACCAGTGGTGTCCAGATTTAATAAGTCTTACTTTATTTTAAAGTACACAAAGACCATGATTTGAAGAATCTAAAATTTTCTCTACCTAAGGAAGTCTTAACATAATTAACATAAAAGAATTTTCAGCTTTTCTTGCCAAGTGATTCTTGCTTGCTTGATTGATTATATGCTGTTTTACGTTTCATTTGAGAATTGTTATCTCATATATAGAGACGTCACTATATACATTTACCAGTGAAGAGATTCATTTTTTTTATTTTACCCGACACTAAGGGCTATTCAACAGTAAAGGTTCTTATTGTGTCTTCTGTCTTGACACGGGGTCTCAGTTTGAAGGTGTCATCCAAAGGACCCGCAATTTTTACTTCAAAGTACCGAGTGCGAAGGAACAATCGCTGCCTGTATGTTTTCAGCTCAGGAGAACTAAAATGCTTCTATTCTTGGTGAATCACCTGCAACGTTGATGTACTTTAAACATATGTTTCTTTACTTTCTAAAATCAGATTGGTATAATCTAATTGTATTTTTTAATTACTTTTTCTCATTTTCAAGTCAATGAAAAATGTAACTATGTTCGAAACTATTTTCAAGCCTTCGAAATGTTTGATAGTTAATACATTTCATTACTTGTTGCATTGCTATTGATTCGATTTTTTTTTTATTTGCAGTTGCTGGTTTAACATTCCGTGTTGTTGCACGATTATCTGGAAATGCAGAAAAACATGCAATGGAAAGTCTTCCGACTGTATCACAATTGAACCCGGCTGTTGCTGCACGTGTTGCTGTAGCAAAGAGAAAGAACCACTAGGTGACATAACATGGAAAGGCGACGGTTTGATTGTTATTTTGGTGTCAGTAGCTCCGACTATCATCCATATTATCATGTACACGATGAGAATTGTGAAGTATTTCTGTGGGGCGACTCATATGGCAGTGTTCGAGTTTTTATATAAAAATATCGAGTCATATATCAATGAGGCTATGAAATGGGCCATAAGTAGAGTACCGACATTTTAATAATTCGCTAATATCCCCCTTGGAGTGATGCGATGCTTGAATTGTATGTCACTAGCTTTAAGAGATGGGTCCTAAAGTTAACAGTTTTATTTTAGAGATCAAAGCGAGACTGCCTCGAGGAGGTGTTTTTCATTTTTAAAAATGTTAATCAGTTTAATCTTTAAAGTTTTACGAGCATTCTCTCTACAGCACTAGAACTTGACAAAGTTATATTATGTATATTATCCTGTATATTGTTTGCTCATGATCACTTGAATGTTCAATTAAAGTTATAATTATCCTCATACATATACATGTAGATGATCTTGGTGTTGTTTATTCTTTCATATTATTTTATTACATGTAATCATCTGTTTGACAAATGAGATATTTTAAACAAACTAATAGACTTGATTTCATTATGTACATATATTTGTGAAACCAACTTTTTAAAAATATCCCTTACAAGAATAAAATACTTCCACATAATGTTTCAATTGAAAGTGAGAAGTGTTGTAAAAAGACCTCAAAGAGTTAAACACAGATTTAAGTTATTTTCTCAATTTTTTTTTAAGTATATGTATATTATCGTGACTCTTATGCTGTTTTTCACATGAAAATATAATATCAAACTTATTCTTTCTAGAAATTACCAAAACTCCGAATATCAGCACACGTTTAATCGACACATCCTTGCACCTTCATAAAGTATTCACTCTTAATCTTTAATACTCAAGATTTTTTTTCTGTGTATTAATGCAAATATTAAAACTATAATCCAAAACATTCAGAGTAGAAAAGTATGAAAGCAAAACCAACTCACCAGTATTGTCAGTACGTGCTCAGTGATGTGTGCAGAGTTTTACAAATTGAATACATCCAGTGAAACATAAACATTGATATGTTTCTTCATCAAGGTGATTAGAATTTTCGTTGGTGTGATGTAGGTGAAAGTTCTGAACAATTATGTGTTTATTCATCGAAGAACAAACACTTAGATCTTGCGAATACTATGACTTGCTATTTTCTTCTTTTTTTTCGAAATGTCTTTTTTATAAAAGAGGCTTTGTCAGATACAACATTTTTTTTCTCTGTGTTACCAATTGGTTATGGTAAATAAGAGAATCGGGTATAGTACAATGTAAGATGTGTAACATATGTAGATTACAGGTATGATTTTTTTCTACTTAGCGTGGAATAAAGATTAGAAATAAATGTACATAGCAAATAACTAAATACTGTGAAGAAAAAAATATACTTCTGCTTCTTTCAGTTTCTTTTTACAACAATTTTTACATATTTATAAAAATAAATTTAAAAAATTATTTAGAATAAGCTGCCAGAATATATCTTAAATAGTAAATTTAAAGTCCAATATTCTCTTATCTTACTGAAATCCTTTTTGATAGCATTTCAAAAAACAATAAAATTACTGAGTTTGTGATAGAGTTATTCTTTGCACGAACCTCTTACAAAATTTCGTCTTAATAATCCTCTTGAATGGGAACAGTGTATTAAATGTGTTCCTTGTGTAATATGTTTTTACACTGATTAAGATTTTGAATGTGTAAGATCATCACCAAGGCCAGTAAATAATTAACAGACGAGTGCATATTGTAATTTACATGTATGTAGCAAGGAGGCAAACGTATATTATGCAATTCTTTTGGGTGAAGTAAAACACGCAATGTCTAAACCCCATTTGCACTGAGTTTTCTTCCGTTGAGAGTAGTATAAGGAGGTCGGTTTTCATGCAACCCCCCTGATGAATGGGTGGATTTAATCCGTTATTGTAAGAGGTGTTAATCCGATTAACTCGATCAAGACACCGGGGTCTAAAATGGCGGATCTAAGGGGGCGGTTTTACCTGTGATCCAAGATGGCGACGAAGAGGTGTTAATTAGCTTAACTCGATCAACAAGCCGGGGGGTGTAAAATGGCGGATCTAAGTGGGTGGTTTTACCTGTACTCCAAGATGGTGGCGCCCAGTGAGGATTACTTGCGCTCTTCGAGCGCATCGAAACGGCGGATCCAATATGGCGATGAATTGGTAATCAAGCAAGGTGGATCTAAGACTTACCGCAAGGAAAGTGGCCAAATCAAGAAGATCGAACGAGAGAACTTTGAATAAAAATGAGATGTTTTACTAATTTTTATTTGAACGATCAAAGAATAAATTCAATGAATCTGGGACATATATAAATGTAGAATAAGCATGAAAAAATACATAAGGTTTTTATAAAAGAATGATTTTAAAGTGAAGGTATTTTAACGTCCATATCTTACACTTTTTAGCAGTAACTCACATGATTTTGTTCTTTTTCTACTAACAAATATATAGTGCATTGAAAAAATATTTTTACGTAAAAAAATCATTCTTTAATATAACCCAAATATAACCTTGTTAATCCAATTAAATTGTATCAATCTCACGGTCGTTCATTCTTAATAAGATTAAATCTGACTTTTTCAGTGCTAAATAGATTATAATAATCTTCAATGAGTCGACATCAACTTTCATTCTTAATGCAGATAGGATTATATTCTTCACTTATGACTGTAATGAGATTACAACAAACTTTTTTCTGATTTACTTAAGAGAAAATTTAAGACATTAATAAGATTATATCTATTTAATCTTTCTTCTAAGTATTTCAAGAAATTATTTTGACCGATGTCAGAATAAAGTGTCTTCACCTGTCCATATATATTGCGTTAATTATATTTAAGCAATCTCACTGTCGTTAATTCTTAATAAGATAAAATCTGACTTTGTCATTGATAAATACTTAATACTAACCAGTTCATTTTTTTAACTATAGAAATTGTCATCAACTTTCATTCTTAATGCAGATAGAATTAACAATGGAATCTAACATTTACTTTTCCGAGGAAGAAATTATAGGTCAGAGTGTGAAACAAATTAATGAATGGGCAAAATTAATTAATTGGAGTGAGGAACATAACCTCCGATATCCTCCTCTGATTCAGGACAAATTATTCTCTCTGCCTACACGCGCATGCGTGAGATAAAGCGGTAGTCTTAAAAAAGGCTCCGAATATTTTTTAACTTTTTCTGTTATTTAATCGTTTTAAGTCAGTGAAATATTGGGATTTTGTGTCTTATATCCATTGGAAAGATGATGTTCGGGAATGGAGCCTGGAAACGCGATGAAGAAGACGAAGAAACGAAAGAATAAGAATGTAAACATCAGTGGTGAGAGTGAACAGAAAATTCGTGTGAGTACCAATCAAGCTTCAATACCAAGAATCCACAGTATGGATCCTCAAAATGCTCAAATCAATGCAAGTATGTGCAATCCCGCCATTATGCAACACTCAACACCTAATGCAAGTTCAAACTATTAAGGAAACGGTCAAAACGGTCAAATCAATCAGTTCAACCCGTATGGGCCCCCAGGTCCTCAAGGTCAGTTCGCTGGTTTTGTATCACCAATAGCCAGTCAACCGAATCAACAACAATTCGATATACGTGACGCTCTGAAAGCTATGACAGATAAATTGGAAAACGTGTCAAACAAACTGAACAAACTCGATCTAATTGACAAAAGATTAGGGGAATTAGAAAAAAACGTCATAACCACAAACGATGAGCTAAGGAAAATGAAAGCTAAAATGGGTGACATGGACGAGGGCCTGCATTTCCTAAGCAAACAATATGAAGATCAACGTAGCGAAGTTAAACAAATAAAAGAATCGGTGGTCCAGATCAGGAAAAGATCAGAGGTCATGGTCGAAGAGAACAAGACTGTAATATCTGAGCTCCAGACAGTGAAAAACAATTTATTTGACCTGAATGAACGACACCTGGATCTCCAAATGCGCACAATGCGGGATAACCTTATCTTTGACGGAATCCCAGAAGCTCAAGAAGAAGATACAGAGGCAGTTTTGAAAGAATTTATCCACACTGTAATGGGAATCGAGGAGGAAATCCAGTTCCACAGAGTACACAGACTTGGAAGGAAAATTCCAAATAAACACCGCCCAATTATAGCAAAATTTGTGTTATTTAAAGAACGCGAGAGAGTAAGAAGAGTGGCCCCCTCCACGCTAGTCGGAAAACCATTTGGGGTCAATGAACAATATCCAAAGGCTATAAACGACCGAAGGAAACTACTCTATCCGCACTATAAGCAAGCAAAGCGACAAAACAGAAAAGCGGTGATGGTCGCGGACAAGCTTTTTGTCGATAGCGTTAGAGTCCAAGGGCGGATTCAGAAAACCCCCCCGCTCATTGATTTTTTTTTTTTTTACAAGTGTCATTTTATCATTTTGTTGCATTGATAAGACTCTAATAAACATAAACCCTTTGTTTGTACAACTGAGAAATTTACATCCACTAGTATACGTAACAGGAAATCACTTTCCGCTTGAACGCACACAATACACAGGTAATCAACAGAGAGAGTGCCTCAGAGATCTGGTAGTCCGTGCAACTAGCGAAGTCACAAGGTCACAGTACAATGTAGTCAGGTACCAACAACAGAAAACTGCATAGTTACGGTGCTGCTCAGTTATATTCTTTTGCTGATAAAATGCATGTTTTTTAAACTATGAATAAACTATTATTCAGGGTTTTTTTTTTTACCGTTTTAAAATTAAATTAATATAATTTTTTTTTACAAAAACCAGGTTGGCTTAGCAAACCCCTCTAGTTTGACAGATTCTCCAGTTTATGTAAATTTTTTCAGTTTGAAATTTCATTAATTGTACACGTGTGTTTATATTCCAAATCATATTGACAGTATATTAATTATACTCAAGTCAGTTGAAAAGCACAAGTTAGGGATTCTGAAAATAATTCAATTTTAAATTTTTTTAGCGTTTAAAAATTTTGCACAATAGTTGTATCTTGGAAGTCAGCTTGACATAGGACTAAATTAGTTGTAGGTGCATTTAAAGTAAAGACAACTTGAAGTCAACTGCTTGCATTCCTAAAATTGTCAGATTTAACATTTTTTAAAAGCAAAGTCTAAAGTCATGTGTTAAAGTTAAATTGAAAACATTGTATTAAAAATTTGTGATGATCGGTCTTTAAAAAAGCTTCCAAAAAATACCCCCAAAATGCTGGAAAATGCACCATTTAGAACCATTTAAAACAAAAAAACGAACCCCCACCTATGGGAGGGGGACACCCCCTCCCATGCCCTCCCCCTTCGGCCCTTTGGGCCTCAAAACCCCCCCCCACATGAACTTCTGGATCCGCCACTGGAGTCTATCCATCAGACCCACTGCCCGATGACAGACTGGTACCAAACCGTAGCCATTATGCGC